CAGTCACTCTCCATTCTTCCCTCCTTCTGGCAGCCACTAATCTACTTTCTGTTGCCACCGATTTGCTTATTCTGGACATTTCACATAACCAGAATCCTATGTGATGTTTGGTGATGGGCTTCCTTCTCTTTTCAAGTTCTTCCACGTTTCAGTACATACTGGTACTTGTCAAAAAAAAAGTCATTTAATACATACTTATCTAATGCCTCTGGGAAGTTTGTGGCTCCTATTATGATAACTCCTTCATTGGGTTTAAAGCTGGTAAAAAAGAAGAAAAGTAACATTTCACTCAAAATTTAAAAAATACACATTTAAAAATGCTATACACAAAACTATCATTAAATTTAGTAACAGTAAAGAAAAGGGACTGATCCTTTTTATACTCAAAGGGATAAGACATCTCTATCATTTTTTTTAAAAGAACAAATATTACTATGCCAGTACACTTTAATAAAACTGCTAACAATACATCACAAAGTCATCTATGATTACATGCCTTCACGGTATTTGTTCTACTTAGGAAGACATGACCTGACAGAAAAGGTTAGGGAACCTGACTAATTTGTGAAAAATTATTCTCAAGCTAACCAATTCAAATTATTTGCTCCTAGACTTCCTGTTTGGTTCCAAAAGGTCATACATGGTTTTAAGAAGTCCTTCCTTCTCTCAAAGCAACCCTACCTCTTGCTCTTTATATTTTAAAAACTGATGCAAACTTTTAGTTTATTTTTTTAGAGTTTTTTTTTTTTAAGATTTTATTTATTTATTTGACAGACAGAGAGATCATAAGTAGGCCGAGAGGAGGGCAGAGAGAGAGGGGGAAGCAGGCTCCCTGCTGAGCAGAGAGCCCAATGCAGGGCTCAATCCCAGGACCCTGAGATCATGACCTGAGCCCAAGGCAGAGACTTTAATCCACTGAGCCACCCAGGAGCCCCTGATGCAAACTTTTAATCTACCACAACATTAAAATCGAGTCACAAACTGTAGGAACCAGCAAACACTCTTTACGTCTCCAGACTAGTATTCTCAATAGGAACCATCACTTTCCTGTCATGCTACAATCAATGAAAAAAGGTACAGAGATCACCAATTAAGAAGAGCTGNTGAGTGCCACCTTTAACTTACCAATTCCATTTCTAGAATTAGAATCCAGAATAATGAATAAATGAGTAAATCTAGAATTCATTCTGAAGAGATAATTAAGGATGTAGGCAAAGCCTTGAGATAAGATGATCATCACAAGTGCTGATTTTATTATTTTCATTAAAAATGTCTGAGTATAGTTGACACACAGTCACATTAGTTTCAGGTGTACAACATAGTGATTTGACAAGTTTAAACATTATGCTGTGCTCACAAGTGTAGCTACCCTCTGTCACCATACAACACTATTACAGTATCACTGATGGTATTTCCTATGCCTTTTACTCCTCTGACTTACTCATTCGACAACTGAAAGCATGTTTCTCTCATTCCTCTTCATACATTTTGCCCAGCCCTCACACTGCTAATTTTAACCACAAAACACTGGAAACCATAAAAGCTTAATGTAAGTGATTACAGCATAGCATGATCATTTGGTCCAGGGACACCACAAAGTCATTACAACCTTGTACCCAATTCTAGCATATGGTTTTCCCTCACACCAACAAACAATTCTCCAACACCAGTCGGGCACCCTAACATTTCAATCAATTCTGATGCTACCCACCTGGAGATAGCATCAAATACCATAAGTTAAGGACTTCATCCCAAAAGACTGCAGAATACATACTAACTTGGGGAAAGTCCTGGCCCTCTTATCACATGGGATTCTCCTGGCAACCAGCTGCTAAACTTAGGTGTGCTCTAAGAGTTGACTCATTAAGAGAAGACAAATCTATTCCTGTCATCACTATAAAACTACAAGAAATGGAACTAAGACTACTTATGTATTTTTTTTTAAGATTTTATTTATTTATTTGACAGACAGAAATCACAAGTAGGCAGAGAGGCAGGCACAGAGAGAGGAAGGGAATCAGGCTCCCCGCTGAGCAGAGAGCCCAATGCGGGGCTCGATCCCAGGACCCTGGGATCATGACCTGAGCTGAAGGCAGAGGCTTTAACCCACTGAGCCACCCAGGCGCCCCTAAATATGTATTTCTAATTATAAATCACAACAGTCATTAAAAGAGAAAACATCAAAGACAAACAGGACTATTCCACAAATTAGTATATATATTGCACAAATTTTAAGGTCATGAAAGATCCATACCCACTCGCATAATAACAGAGTGAGGAGGGGAGCCTGGGTGGCTCAATCAGTTAAACATGAGACTTCGGCTCACCTCATGATAGGGTCGTGAGACTGATCCCTGCATGGGGCTCTACACTCAGTGCACAGTCTGCTTCAGATTCTCTCCCTCTGCCCTCCCCCTCACCGGCTCCTGCAC